GAACAAAAATACCAGCCATCTAGCCAGGTTTTGTGTACAAGAAAGCAGTGGTTTTGAAAGTAAAGAGAAGTTTTATAAAGAAATGGAAAACCAGATAAATAACAAAGGATTTTAGGGGACCGTGTTTACAGAAAACTTTAAATCATGTTGGGCTAAAAGGAGGCATTTTCTCATTTCAATTATTGCAACAAGACATCATGATAAAGCAACAAATCCAAAAATCTGGTTTCGTCCACTGAGTTGACAAAATTTCTTCAGGGATGGGCTAGAAATTAACTGAGATAATTTGCAAATCTTGAGGCACATGCTGGGAAATATTACAGAAAATCATAACCAGGCATGAAAAAAAAAATAGTAAATTGTTTATAAATAATTTAAAAACATATCGTTAACGACCCGCCAGCTATTCCACAGACAATATTATGTAGAACATTAATATTTTAATGGTAAAATCTTTCCAGGAAGAAACAGCAACTGTATTTACAATTCAGCTTCAGAAGAACAATTTTTGAACCCGTGAGAATATTCCGAGAGAACGGTCGTCCATTATTTCATAACTGGTGAATGGAAGGGTGTGGCACTCGTAAACAGTTTTGTTAAGTCAAATCGAAAGTTCCAACAAAAACGTCCTATATTGTCCATAGTCATAGACAAGATTAACCCACAAACAGTGCGCAGGGTTTCTTAAACGAATGGAAAATAATGTTCTACATCTTAAATATACTGTACGACAATCTATTTTCTTTTTATTGTCTTGAGAAGAGCAGGTATCATTTTTATTTTGACTGTGCGAGAAGAATAAAAGAAGAATATAAAAATAACTAAGGTCAATAAAAGAATGCATCACTGGCTAAACTAATGTTATTCGTCTCTTAGCTTTTTCGTAATGGATGGATTAACGCATTTAATTTAAAAGAAAAAAAGACAAATTGACAACTAACTAGAATAGCAACGTCGGCAGCTGTTTGGAATACATTTAAAAACACCCCTTGGTTGTGTAAGCAAAATCTGACATACCTGTCAAAATTACACTGAGGTTATGAACAAACATTTTATGTTTCAGATAAACATATTTGCGACAACCAAGGAACAGTAACTTGAAATTTCTTCGCAACGGTCTAGTCATGTCTGGTGGTGGCACATAACCGTAGGCTTTTGTTATCTTCCGCCTTCTTGAATTTTCGACTTTACAGAAAGAATGTTTAGACCACCGCGATTTATGGCTTTTCCTGCACTTCCAGACCATTGAACAGGCAGTTGCTGCGAGCCATGTGTTCTGAAATAAGCTGTTTCCAGTAGATAGTCGTTCAAAATATTCATCCTAGTCGTCAACAGAGGGCGAAATCAATTTTTTTGTAAAAATGTATACGACAACCTGGCACAAAAAGTGAAAATCACCTTGTATAAAATTAAAGAAGTTCCCACAAAGGTAAAGGAAAGTACTGCTTTGAACCTTTATTACACCGTTCATTGTTAGGAATATCTAAATGTGACTTTGATACATAACAAACAAAGGTTTTAGCAACATTCAAAAACTTAAAATATAAAGTTTTATAAGACGTTTAATAGTTGTCATGTACAGAGATAAAACATCTACAAGACGTGTCTTTCAAAAACAGTAGTTTTTTAGCAATTTATATCAATGTTTTTAGATTTCTTGGGTAGTTTTGCTGAGCGAAATTGTGTGCGGCTAGTAGATAAGAGACTGAAATAAAGTTATTGCCCATCATAGAAGTCGTAGTGAAGGTCGAACGGCAGTAAATAATCTATCGCTGAACTTTCCCTGAACCTCATCCTTTTTTAAGTTTAAGATCCTTCCCTTCACAATGGTTGATCAAAACGAAATTGCAAAAGTACTCAAGCACAGAACCGGTTTGGGAATGGCTCCCACCACACAATTGTGCGTCCATAAATATCAACGGTGGCGTTTTCCACCAAACGCAAACAAAATATTTCTCTAATAACGTCATGTACAATGTTAGTACGACCACATAAAGGGATTCCCCTGCTGATGTCCCAAGAAAACAAGTTGAGATCTTGTGGTGTTCACCAAACTCTACCTCCCAGAATCAAACGACCAGTCATGCAACCGGACCCTAGCTTCGGCGACTGTGCCGGAGAAAATACTTATGAAAAAGAGCAATTTTCTCATACTTTAAACTCTTTTTGTATTTGGACGTTCTTGCCTTTATTGTCGAATGGTTCCACTAAATCACAGTTCTTTTATTTCTCGCAATTTCAGTATTTTTTCACTAATAGAAGAGTTTTAAGACACAAAGATTGACACTCAAAATGACCAAGAAGAATATAACAATAATAGTAAAAATTTTTGTTACTATCAATATGGTGTTATTTTAAGTTTACACGCCCACGAATAAAATTGCATTTGGCAAACAAAAATCTAGAAAATCAAATTTAATTTTCTAGACGCCGGAAATTAGGAATAATTTCCGCCGAACAACGTGGAAGTTCGCCGCACGCAGAGAGAATCTCGCTGGGTCGTGCTGTGAACTTTTGTGTCTTGCTTCTGACACACGAAGAGCAAGCTTGCTGTATATATAGTGCCTTCCCCGCCGTGCTAACTTCCTAACAGTGAAAACACGAACATTGTTAAAATCCAAATGTTTGAAGGAAACAGCAACGAAAATATTGAAAAGCTTTCCGAGCAGGTGGATAAGTTGCCATAAAGTCTAAAGAATAGGTGAAGTGGATGATTGTCTCACAAAATCTAGTTCCGTGATCTGAGGCTTTCAGCGGGAATCCGCTCCTTTGTATCTCTGGCACATATTTTAAGGAATAAAACTAAACAATAAATTACTCTGTGTTATAACAATTCGTTTGCTTACGAATGGAATGGGTGGGAACATCGTTAACCATGGACTGGTATTGTTTAATTAGCTGAGAGAGTAAATATCAATCTTTTAAGCTAGGTACGAAAACGACCAATTAAGTATATGACGCCCTTAGTGCTATAGTGATGGCGTTAGCCTGAGGGAAAGCTGATAGTAGAAACAAGTATGCCAAGCACAATAAATTAAATTGACTGTTTTTGTAAACAGCAAATGTACTGTAGAAATACGCGAATACACCGATATTGTTAGCCGTTAGAATTCTAATTCAGCTCTTTTGTCTTTGAAAAAAAAGTAGTCTTGTACGATAAGAAACACAAGTTGTACTTTTTGGAGTTGTAGTTTGAAAACAGTTTGTATTGTTGAAAATTTTAGTGATTGGAAACACCCGTCACTTAACATTATTAAAGTTTAGCCCAATTGGCGCTTTTGTTAGACTTGGATTAGCCACTGATAATTGCTGCCATATGCTTGATTGATTTGAACTGTTGACCAGAAAATAACTTTAAACCAATAATGCTTAAACGTGGTCAAAAGTTACTTTACACTTAACTTAAATCTTGTAAGACCACTGTTTAGAAGAGTTGTAAAACAGTCTTCAAAATAAACTAGCTGACAGAGTTTTATGAATTGTTTACTTCGTTGAAAGCTTGCAGTTTATACAAAAGCGAGGGTACAAAATATACGACAAGCTTTATGGAGGGGGACGTCTTTAAGAGCTGGTTAATTAAGAAAATTACACTGTAGTTGTGCTCGACTTTGTGGTAAATAGGCCTCCCCAATGTTACACAACAGACGATGAAAGGATAGATAAACAAAGACTAGCCTACAGTGCACAAACAAAGACAGACTAACTAAATAATGGACCCTACGAGTTAAGAGAACACTACAGGATTCCAGCCATTATTTGACTTGTTTTAGTCATTGATCTGTGTGTAAAACCGCTCTTACGAGAAATTAACATATGAATACTCCTAAGTCTCTGCTCATATGTTTTCCACGCTGCGCTATTGTGATATTCCCAAACAAATAACTCCACAGGTTTAGAGAAAAGTGAACTCGCCTTTGCACTTGACTTTGTAAATGTTTATAACGAGATTGGTTCACGACAAGATAGCATGAGTTGGAGCTGGTCAAGGAGACTGAAAAAAACTAAAGTTATGGGTTCGATGTGTAAACGCATCACAGACTTTACCAAATGATTAAAATAAAAAGCTTTTTGGCTAAAAGTGAAGGTGCTAATTACGCCTGGAAAAGCTTTAGAGATTGAGTATTCTGCTAATTGGTTAAAGCAATTAACGGAGCTTTGCTAGATAGAGGCAGGCTGACTGAGTAAATAAATCGAACATTGAACACAAAACGATAAAACGTCTTCAGAGGCAACTCCGTGAGACACACTATTTTACATAATAGTCAACTGGGAAGAAATAATCGTAATGACAAGGGAAGGAAAACAGTATAATTAACATCAAGAAAAGTACTGTAACTATAAAATGCATTGATTCTTGGCCTAAAGGGTTAAGTATGTGTAAATGGTCAATAAAAGAATTGATCTCTTTTCTCCGTTTGTTCCCAGATTTGCTTAATCATAGTCGACGGCATTGAACATTTTTGGATGCTAGACGACAGTAATGTTAATAAATACAACCGCTTGGCAAACAGTTCTACTCACATGTTCACACAAAAACCTGCAACACTAAATATTAATACCCTAATTGAATTGAGGACTCACAATTTTGCCATAAATATTTATTTGTTATTTGCTTACATCCACCAACAAAGGTGTCAACATTAAGAAAAAAAACTGGCGAAGCTTTTCACGGTTCGATGTTTGAGCCCTACTTTACACCCTAACCTGAAAAATAATTTACTATAAACTGGTAAATTACTTGTGTTCTTTGAAATCGACATGACGAAAAGTTAATCATTGTCACGCAGTGAAAAAAAAAATAGCAAAAACGTAATGAACAAAGTACTCAAAGTTGACAAACAATGGGGATGACTAAGTTTTGCTCGAATCAGTAATCTGCCTTGGCAATTACATACATGCATGTAACTTAAAATATACCTTTACAAAGATTCTGCCCTTACTCAAGTCCATAGTTTTACTATGGGCTAATAAACATTTAAATTTTAGCGTAATTGAAATAATCATTTACAGTCAGATAAGAAAGGATTGCGTGAAGTTATTGGAGAAGCGTTCTCTTTAAAGAAAGGAAAGTTCGACATCGTTGAAGAGCTAAGCGGTAGTCTTGGCACCGCTGAAAAAGCGGACTGAAAAATAGAGTCATTATTAACGAGGTGTCGATCTGAAAAAAATGGAGGAGTGGGAATTGTCGCCGACCACTGAGATTCCAACGGAGAACGTGGATTGCTCAGACCAGAGAGAATGGTACTTTGTGGGTAGGAGGACTGTAGAAATCCGAATCCATGACAGTGATTTGGGAGTGTCCTTTCCGGCGAAGATGGGACGATGCATCTTGCGCTTGTTGTTGGGTGAGGAAGAACGGGGGTGGGATGAGGAAGAGATGACCCCGAGCAGTTCATATTGCAGGACATTCCTGCCATTAAGTTGTGTCTTCGCAGCTGAGGTGATAAGGGAGATGAGAAAATCGATGGATGGTGCGGCCACAAACTTGGGCAGAAGCCAAGCTGAGAAGGATCAAGTGCATAGCTTGGAATTGGGGAGATTCTTTGATGACGTTTGAGCGCTACCCGGTTTCTAGAAGAAGGAGGGTTCCGTCTTTTTAGTTTGCCAGTGGTCCCACCAATGACAACATCATCAGCGCTTGGATCCAGCATCCAGTAGTTCCCTTTTCCAGGATCGTCATAATGTCGAGGAATCTTGACAAAGCACTTGTTCAGGGACAGGTTGTGTCTGATGGAGTTCTGCCACCCTTGCTTGTTGTTGCGATAATATGGAAAATTCTGCAAAAAAAATCAGTAGAGCAGTGTTAGCATGAGTAGAGTAACTTGTTCAGTTAACTTGAACAAAAGGTTCAGTTGTACTTTGAAAAATGACTAGCATTTGTGCAATAAGAAGTTGAAGTTAAAACGATTGTAAGCTCCAGTGTAACAAAATTTAAGTTTACACCAACGCATAATTTTTTTCCCGGTGACGCAAGCAGGTAGCTATAAAACGACATACACCCTTGACTAATTAGGTCAATCAATGACAGAAAATTGTTGTTGAAATATAATGTTATTTCGTATGAAACGACACGCAAACCGTAAGTTGGAACCACATCGTTTACTGTACCAACCTTCATGATGAAGTCATAAATGCCACTTAGAGTCAGTCGCTTCTCGGGTGAACCACGAATTGCCATCATTATAAGGGCATTATAAGAAAATGGCGGCTTCTCATACTTTTTCTCCTCTCCATCTTTGCCCTTCAATTTTTCCAGGTTTCTGTTCCTCCTTCGAAACTTTATCCTCATTTTTTGGCTCTTCGTTCTCTGAAGGATTTGTTCTTCCTTCCTGATCCTGGATAAATGCCTTTTCTTCTGAGGCAGCCTGTAATTGTTTTAAGCTCATTTCGTGGTCACTGCTCTCTTTCATCTTAATTAAACTGATAACACTTGAACGTACCACTCGTGCACTTGAGAAACTTCCAGTCAATGGTTAATTAAACAAGTGTTCCTGACCGACTATACACTGGTACTGATTGACTGCTATACTAGCAGTGTTCTTTAATATGTTGTCAGTATCCACAATCCACTGTTAACCAAGCATAGTAATTGATACGCCGCTGTACCTTTTTTATCGCCAGCCAATCAAAGCCTTTGACCACAAACAAAGTGCTGAGAAATGAAAGAGACCTCAGAGTCCCCTACGCGATCCTCTATTGTCTTCCCTGTTTGTGTTAATAATCAATGTTGCATTGTTGACTTAAAAGAGGTGCTAAATTCGCAACCAATGACTTGGGCCAAAAGTCCGTTTGGCTCCGCCTTTTAACAAAACTACACGCGGGAGACACAATTGAACAATGTACTCAATGCATTAGAAACCCATACTGCCATCAAAAGAACTAATAATTCATGATTAGCGAGGAGTAAGCTTTTTGTTCTTTTTTTTTTTCTCCACTTTTGAATACCTTACGCAAACGTTCTCTTCAGTTCTGTATTTCCTGTTTCTCTGTCGGTGGCGAAGACAGAAAAAAACTTCTACCACGTTGACCCTTCTGTTTAACCAAGGAAAATATGAATTAATGTTTCCCGCACGTGAACTAAATTCGTGGCGGTCGTTATGTCACAGAAATCGGGTGCATTAACGTCAATATACGATGCATTTGTACGACAGATAATGGATAGATAATGGTGATTGCAAACAAACAAACACCAAATTGAACACGACGTGGTTTTCACGTACAGCTGAAATAGCAGCAGCTCAAAATAGCCTTTTTTCAGGTGAATCTCTGGAACACAGCCAGGCATTTTTGAATGACGATCAAATGCGAATGGATAAACGTCTTCTGAGGTGAAAATAAAGAAAATAAGGGGATCCACTTAGCTATTTGTGATCGGAGTCATTATGATTTAAACTAACAAACAGAACAGATGTAACTAAACTGTTAAATTGATGCGGTTAACACAATTGCTTCGTTAACAAGATTGTTAACAGCCGGCGCGCAAAGTGGCTACTGCCAAGGCTGATTAACATCAAAGAACAAATTATTTTACTGGGTTACTCGCAGTCCAGGTAGCTTTTCATTGACAAAGTGAGGATACATGCTACGAATGGCGTGATACATTGGTGTGCTCGCTTTGTTTTCTCGCTTATTGTTCTAGTAAATAAACGGACTCCATGTGTTACGCAAGTTGACCACTTGTTTTGAGTTGTAAAGAATTCCAACTGCGCCCCAGCCAACTCCGATCTTAACTGTTTAGTTATGACCCAAGAACTGGTCGAGAAAAAGACCGTGGGAACTGAAACCCTGCTCGCTTTAGTATTGCCAACGAAGCCGCATAAAGATTGTGCCTCTAACTGCGCGCTTTCAAGTGCAAAACTCTGGGCAAACAAAATAAAAACACAGCTAATAAGTACTAGGAAATAGTTTCAAAAAATGGGTGAAGTTTCGATCTTTAGGGTCGAAACAGATATATTAAGAGATATTGAAGCTGTCTAAAATTAAATTAAAGAATGAATCCGGAAGTGGAAAGCCATGATACAGTTTTTATATTTTAAGTCCGTGGTTTTAATCTTAAGTCAAATAAAAAAGATGAAAAAACGAAACCACAAAAGGTGCAGAACTGATACTTTATCGCTGCCAGCCTGAAACATTCGAAGAACGCAAAATCAAATTAACAACAAATAAGTTGAAAATCGGTAAATGCTACATCTTTTCATTTCGTTCACAATGTTGAAATACATCAAGTATGTAATCGCATTTCAGATTTACAGGTAAAAACCTTTTTTATCCTCTCTTTTCATTCAAAGTAGCCGGTTTATTCCAATAAACTTGTAAATAATTATTGCGGGTATCATCGTGCAGTGGCAAATTAGCTGGTGGTTAACGACAGAAAGAACAAACGCAGATACAAGTTTCAGTTTAGTCAGAATCACAAAATTAAAATAAAGCGATAGAAAACAAACCCTTTCGTCATTGTAAATTATTATGAAATTCTCATCTAATTATTGATTGACTGCTAACAGAAATTCGTTTGAATAGTTTGTTATGGAATTTTATGACCAATAGGCCACACTCATGACCTAAAATTCTCCTAGCATATTTTAACTCGTATTAAAATAGGATATGTAAACAAAAAACAGTAAACATTATATTTATAGCTAAATTTGCGCTTTAGTGCATAATTATGTTATTGCTAGAAAAAAGAAGTAATGTAGTACTTTAATTAATACTTCTGATCAAAAGTTTAAATGAAATGATAAATGTGTAAAGCCGCAATACTAGGTTAAATAAAAATTTTGAGACTTAGCTAAAATATGGAATTCTGTTGGAAAGGTATGTGTCATTAAAAGTTCAACAACTATTTCATTGCATCGATCAGCTGCAAGACAATTCTTCGCCCACCAGGCCAACGCCTTTAGCTGTTATTTAGTTTGGACGTTAGACCTTAAACATTCTCTCGTGTTGTCAAAACAACAAGCCTACAGTTAAGAAATCAAAAGGATCTATATTTAATGGTAAGAAAGTCAAAATAAAGAAGACTGAAGGGCCACAAAAGAGGAGACCCCCACTTAACACAGCTTGGTTTTCTCAAGCAAGCAAAAGGTGACTGCGAAGTTGAACACTTACTATCGCAGTAGGTGCTGATCATATCCCCGCACGGTGCTGGGACTAGCAGCTGTTTTTGCTCCTAAAGGAAACTCCGTCTTGGATAAACTATTTACGAAAGTCACGAACAGAGTTTTTTGCCTTCAATCTGACGCCCAGAGAGTAATATCTTGGCACAAATCACTTAAGACGTTTGAAGTGGTCGCCACTTCAAGGACTGGGGAAGAAATTGTTTTATTTGCAAACGGAAATGATCGTTCGGCCAAAAACACTGTTGATAAGGGCTTGTATAAGCTACCAGCATGAACATTTAACACATGTGAATGCTCCAATGACGGCGGGCTCTACCGTTTTCGTGCTAGCCCTCTTACTCGTATGCTGTTTTTCTGAATTGTAAGTTAGTCTGTGAAAAAGCTGTGACGCTGTCTATAAAATCTCAAAAACAGTGTTACGCTTTAAGCCTCCGTCTGGTCTGAAGCTCTTGTTAAAGTTTTTTACCGTGCGACCTTTTTAACCTGCATTTGCTGCACACTAAAGGAGCACATTGTTCTCACAGTCATATTTCAAAGCACTTGGCAGCCCATGATATCATCATCACTTATGACCAAGCAGTATGGTTTTGGAAAAAATTCTCCCGTGATACTCAGTTGATTGAAGCAGTTCTTGGCATGAGCCAAAGCATTCAACTTCGAACCCCACAAAGGTTCGCTCACGGAGTTAGATATTGCATAGATTCAACGGTAAGTAACACATCAAAGCGGATCAAAGCCGTTCTTTCACATAGATCCCAAGTGGTATCAGTTAACGGAAACTGATACCAGTCGTCTCCCAAAGACGTTCTTTTTGGAGTATCCCAAGGATCCACTTTAGGCCCCGTTTTATTTCTGCTATTCAACAATGCCATGTCTACTGATTCCCAATCGAATCTACTTCTTTTCGCTGACGACTGTTGATTTTCCCCTTTAGCAAAAAGGAAATGAAAACAGCTGCTACGCCAGAGACTCTTGAACAAGTTTTGTTTCTTCTTGCTACTTGGTCTTCCCGATGGCAATTATCCTCTAATATATCTCAATTAATTTAATTCAATTTAATACACCGACACAATTTAGCAGCGGGAAAGGACTAGAAGGGAACCGAAGAACCATACAGGCTAGTCAAACCAATTTAAAATTTAGTGTTATCATCTTGGCATTACCCTACAAAGACAACGGTATTATTACCTTCTCTCTCTAGTTACACCTTACTCTCTCGAAATATTCCATGTGTTGATTCTATTTCCTATTTGGGGATATCTATTACAAAGGATCCAAGTTCTTGGATTGAACATTGCGATAAAATCTACAAAAGGCCGATAGTACCTTTGGGCTCAGTCCTCAAGCGTATTTTGGGGGACTGATCTGCTAAGTTTATTTATCTCAACCTCACCTGACTCTGAGTTCGTCCTAAACTTGAGCACGCAAAATGCGTATGGAGCCCTAGATGCCAAGCAAAACATAAACAAAATTCTAATTGCACAAATCGTGGTGCAACATTTGTCTGTAGTGACAGACTTTAATTTATTCTCATTACAGTCATAAGATCGCAAGCCAGTCTGACAAGTGCAAAATATATATCAGGGACATGTTGCTATCCAGTTTTTCCCGGTTGACTGTGAATTTAAACGAGACCTCAGCGCTTTCAAACGATTCCCCTTTAGGCGATTACATCATATGAATACTCGTTTTATGTTAAAACCATAGTTTCTTGGAATACATCTTCAAAAGCTTCCAATCTCGATTGAACATTTTAGGAATGCAGCATTAGCGTCCATTTATTCTCTTAACGAATTATGATTTTTCTGTAGTTTGCTTTTTTCATTTGGATGATGTTTTATTCATTAGTTACTACGTTATGATTTGTTCTTTGTTACACACAGCTTGTGTTCTATATCTTTTGCAATCCTCTTAGTAAAAAAGTACTGTCTTAAAAATATTCTGATTGAAGTTTAAAAATTAAAGGTGTGAATAAAACTCTTGCAATATGGGACTCAACTAGCTTTTGCTTATTTATTAATTTATTATCTAATTATGACCGAGCTCAATTGTTCAGTTTCTTTCCCCAAACAGAATTGATAAGTTTTCAGGTGTACAAGCTCACAAGTTCTTCGGTAATAAGTAAGAGTCCCGATAGTAAATTTGACAGGAATTTACAATCACTTTGCAAGCCTTGTATACCTTGTGTACCAGCGACTCTCGGCGTCATAGAGCGAAAGGGAACGATAAAAATAAGTCTCCTTGGGAGCCGCGCGGGCCGAAGTCGGCTGCGAAGAGAACAAAATCAGACTAAAACCACAACAAATGGCCAATTAACGTTATTTTGCCTGACCGCCCCACAAATCAAAAAGAAGATTAACTCCACTACCGCAATATTGGACAGGACGTATTCACGTGTAACAAGCAGTAACAAAGTTCACAGTACCTGATTGAAGGGAAAAGGGGAATAAGCGCGTGATTGCGCGAATCCTTCTATCATATACCCTACAAACGCCTGCTAGGCAGTCGGCCTGTAGCCAATTTATTCGCGAACATTTTTAATAATAATAATAATAATAATAATAATAATAATAATAACGAAACATTTGTATAGCGCATAATAATATATCAACTCTATGCACTATACACAATATTCATAGGATTATAAAAAAAACAAAAATGAAAAATAAAAATTAAATAAAAACTAATTCTTGAAAGTGATATTAAAAAAATATATATGTTTTTAAGCTTTGACCTAAACATTGTCAGATTGTCACTAAATCTAATGTCATCAGGTAACTGGTCTACGTGTTATAATCAGCCCAGGCTAAATGCAAGGTAGAAGATGATCGAACCATGCGTACAAGACAATAAGGAGTAAGGAGCTCTTTAATGTAGGACGGCGATAGGTCGTGGAGGCCTTTGAAGGTTAAAAAAAATTTAATTTAATGCGTTCAGCAATGGGGAGCCAATGAAGATCCTTCTATAGTAGTGTTACGTGATCAATTTTTCCTACATACGAAGATAACTGCTTATCCATGAAACGTTCATGCCACACCGTAATTATAGCCTGTTCACAGACCCTCTATTTTCTCTTTAAAGTCCGTCCAACGCGCGTGATAAAATATAAACCACGGGAGATTTAATGACCACCAGCGCAAGGGGTAGGGGTGGGGGAAGAAGGGGTAGGGGTGGGGGAAGAAGAAAATAGTTCTTTATTTTTCTTTCTCACGCTCCGCGTTCGTTCTCGGGCGCTCGCTTTGCTCGCGAGCTCGCCGATGTTTTTGAAAAGAACGAAAAGAAAAATAAAACAACGTCTGTTTACAAGCTATCGCAATTATTATCCTAGAAGGTAACTTCTGGCACGGGTTTCACAGATTTTGTGTTCTTTTTAATATAATTTACTGCGTCAATTTTGCGCAATTTGTATAAAGTTACCATGGCAACCAATGTTTTACGCAGGCGCGGGTCAACAAATCACCCTCGTCTCTTACAACGATTTACATTTTTTTTCTTGCGCAAGATCACTCCACAACTAAATGCGAATCTTTTAGCGGTGGATCGTCGGTAGAAATCTTCATGGGCTGCGGTTCGTCCACGCCTGGAGCAGTCGTAAGTTTATAAAAGTACATATTTTTCCCACTATCGATCTCTCTATTCCATAATGTGAAATCGTGCGTGGCAAGACGAATATTGGCCGTCTGACAGTATTGGACAAATATACAGTCTTCTATAATACGCTGTGTGTGTGAAAAATCATATTGTACCCTTCACTACACGTAGTGCTTAAACGAAACAAAATCGGAGATCGTGATAGATGGAAGAAAAGAAAAATCTCCTTCAAACAAATTTAATCGCTACTATGTAAAACACTTTTGCTTCGTCGATTAAATCAAGGATGACATTTGAAGATTTAAAAGCCAGAGAGCATGAAGGGAAAAGGCTTTTCTAATATCATGTAAAAGTTTATACATAAAAATGAAAAAAGAAAGACTGTTTGACGGAGGCTTCGGGTGCCAACAGGGTTCAGTATCGAATTTCTTGCTGTAAAGAATATAAAATTTGCATATTATCTTGAGAGTACACAGGTGAAATGAAATGCACAGGAGCAAAAATAAGAGGTTAATCAGTCTCTGCATTATCGAGAAAAATAAACGCGTAGTTAAAAGGTACCAAACGAATGTTTCCATATATATATATATATATATATGTCATAAGTGTCTCACATTGTATCCTCTATGTATTCGAAAACAGTTTGGTTAACTTAGAGCTGCCCTAAAAGCTATTTATCTATTCGGATTTGGTCGTCTCGTGAGTTTAAGTGGCTTTTTCGTCTCATCCGAAACTGTTGGCTACCCTGATGGGCCGACCGTCCGGTTGAAAGTTCGAGGACGTACAGTGGCCATACTTGCATTAGAAGATTCTTGGGAGACCTTTTTTATCAATAATTTCATCTTTGTAATAAAAAAAAAGCACAACCTCCGAAAATCGTAGGCACAAGCTATATACCGAATACCTTCAACGGTTATCCAGACATTTTAAGCGTTTCTCGAGAATTCGAAATTTCTAGGCAATATTTTGCTCCTTTGAACAGTTATTTTAAAGAAAAAAGTCCTTGGGTGCCCATGTTAGTTGCTTTGTCTCAAAGAGAGAGTCTGCTTAGCTTCTATAGCTAGTTAATACCTGACGGATACACAATTTTGTTCTTTTCACTTGATCTCAAAATCTCAAAACCGTTTGTGGTGAACCTGGAAATCTCGTTTTTGGGAGTTTCACTTGTCCAGCTACTCATATTTTTGAACTATTTGACTTTTTGTTTTGAATTATTTAGCAACTCCTTCATAATATCTCCTCTTTCACATTCCTCAACCCTAAATTAAACATTGAACATGGTTACACCCCCCCCCCCCTAGACACACCAGCAACAAAAAAAAATGAAAAAAAGGGGGGGTCAAAGGCAACCCATTTGGCTACTAGTCCTTACAAGTATGTCAAGGGAGTTGAACCTGGGAAAACCGAGAAACAAAGCCAGCAGCTGGTCAGAAGAGAATTTAAACCTGGAACACCAGATTGCAAGGTTGACAAAGATGCTGACCACTTAGACATATGCCTCCCCAACCATGTTGGCCATGTCTTACATATGAACGCATTAATGCTAATTTATAAATTTGGCTTTTGTTTCAATTGATAGGTGACAACTCAACAGCCAGCAACTGTAGTAGCAGCACCTGGTCAAGCTGTTGGTAAGACAACATGTATTGGTCTTAAAATAAGTAATAAAATGGAAATCAGTGAACAGTTTTGCATCATTTGAGTTAAACAAATAAGATCATGACTGTGGTTGTAATAATGAGGTAGAAAAAGATAAAGGGAGGACACAAACCAAACAGGCTCACATGACTGGAGCTTCAACCTGGTTTCAGCAGTATGAGTCTAGCGTGCAAAGAAAGTGGTGTCCGAGCCCGGGGCTAGTGGATTTTGTTACTGGGCTATTGAATTCTGTTCTCAACTTGCTGACAGGCAGGTAAACTTTTTTGGGGGAACTCACTGTAATCAATCCTGCTCATCAAAAAAAAATTGGAATTGGGGGGGCTATATAAAGTGACTCTTGGGCTAGTAAATTCTAGCTACAGCTAGCCGGAATGGCAAGCTGTAAAAATGACTTTCTTTGCACCCTGATAAGGCACCTAGGATAAATGTGACTTTCCTCTGGATAACTCTTCTTCACAGAAGTTATCTAACCTGGGTTACAATAGGGATTCAATCAATAACCAGAAATGCATTTTGAGTTTCCCTTTCAACCTAAGGTACATGTAACTGGCAAATCAATAATGGCTTTTTTAACAGGCCAATCATGGTGCATTATCAAATCCTGGTACACAGGTGGGGGCCCAGAACAAGGATATCGGTGCTGTTTCACTAACAGACTAAACCAGAAGTTTGGTAATTATTGTGAAGAACAACTCCCCTAAACTGACAGACAACCAACAGTCCTCTGACAGTCGGCCAACTGTCGGTCATGCTAGTCAATTGTATCTATAGGTGTTTCATTTTTAACAGTTTTTAGTGAGAGACTTGCCGCTGAATTATGTCTTAGGTGTTTCATTCGTGCAGATGTTACTGTCAGTGAGGTGTCCATAATATGTCAGTAATGTGTCACATAACTGTCCGCCGACAGTTGACCAACTGTTGACTGACAGTCGGTTTGGGGGAGTAGTTCTTCACGATTACCAGAAGTTTAGTTCCATCTGTGGCATAAGTGACCCTACTAGGCCATTAAAGGGCCACACCAAAGCTGTATGTCACTGGTGCCTATTTATAAACCACGGTCAAGAGGAACATTGTGAAGAAAAGCTTCCTGTCTCAGGAAACAATGCAGTAGCAAGTTTTGAACCCTGACTGCCAGATGTAAAGTTCAAGAAGTTTCAACCCATGGACACCACAGGCCCTCCATTTTGTAATTATAATGAGTTGGTTGAATGTAGAGAGAGTATAAAAAACTTAGTTGTTTCATACTGGATTAATTTTTCTGTTATATTTTCAGTGCAATATCCTACAGCATATCCACAACAACGAATGATAGTAAACCAAGGGTACCCCCAACAGCGTGGGCCACCACCAGGGTACTATAATCAACGTGCTTATGCAGGACCTCCAGGATATGGGCCCCCAGGGATGGTCCAGCAGCCCCAAACAGTAGTTGTTCAGAATAGAGACAATGGAGGTGATCTTCTGGTTGGAATGGCAGCTGGTGCTGTTATGGCAAATGCTTTGCACGGACATCACCACTATGGCTACGGAACTCACATCCATGTGCACGACCATGATCATTTCCATGATGGTGGAGATCACTTTCACGAGCACCATCATTATGGAGGGCCGGAGTATCATGAACATTATGGTGGAGATGGTGGAGGGTTTGATGGAGGTGGTGGGTTTGATGGTGGTGGAGGTTTTGATGGTGGTGGTGGGTTTGATGGTGGTGGAGGTTGCGATGACGGTGGTGGGTTTGATTAGAATAAGTGTGAATATGAATCATTATATCCTCTTAAAAGAAGAGGTTGGAGGGTCAACCTTCAGCAAGAGTTGAATGACGTTTTGTACAGTTAAACAAATGTAAAATAGAAAAATTCAACGACTCAGTTATGATACAAGTAGGTAATCATAAGTAGGAACAATAATAGAAATATGTAAATAAATAGTTTGTATTATAAGGTAAAAAGGTTACTTTTTTCAATCTCAGTAACTGTCATAGACTGACATATTGTGCTAATCCTTGCTCCTAAAAATAGGAGGGTTTCATACATTCATACATTTACATTTCATACATCAACTTAATTTAAATCTTGTTCAAAATTTTGATGTTTGTGTCAAAAAAAAGATCTGAATATGATCCCAACTGAATAATGAAGGGGAAATAGCATTTTGACCAGACATTAGAGTCTATAGTTATGTTGTTTGTGTTGGAGAAATAATAATCATGTAATGTGATTCGTTGATTAAGATCATATGACACTCTCTAGGGTATTACATGACTGTGCACTTTGATCGCATAATCTCATGATTTATTTTCTCTTGCCTTGTAGCTTATGTTATTTCGTTCTAGTTGTAACCTTCTTTCGGTTTGGATTAAAGATGAATTCTTGATAGTTTGCGTTTCATAACATGACTATCTTGAGGAATTTTTTATCCCTCAAAACTTTTTTTGTTGAGAGGAATTTCTTTGTGATCACCCCCTTTATATAAAAATCACTTTGCTTTGAGCTTTACATCATGGTTTTCAAACTAAGATTAATTCAGTCAAACTAAAGCTGATTCAATCTGCACTCACATTAAATGTTACCAAAAATTGGTGTCTTTCAAAAAAGTCTTGGTATACATGTTACAGATCAAATTTAATTTCAGGCTAAAAAAGTTTTAACCTAGGTTGATTCTGGATTTCCTTTGTCTTCTAGGACCAGGAGACATTGCAAATTGAGAATCAACCTAGCTGGTTAAATCAAAATTAACCTACATTGTAAAATCAAATTTGACCTGTAACATTATGTAGCTATTTGATATGGGTTTTGGGTGTCTACAGTAATGTAAATGTATATAATTTATTTTATTAGACAGCTTGGACACAAGACATCCCGCAGGTACAGGTATCCCAAAGATTACTTTGTTTATATTTCGGTAGGTGTAATTTGTTATAACCTTAATTTATTATCACAATTTATTCATAATTTTATTTTACTTTAAGATTGTACATAATAAAACTATGGTTCAACATCATTTATTTTTTTTTGCTCAAGTTGAATGAGTAGAGCTAGGACAAATTCAGCCTTTTTAAAAGATTAACAGTTAATCTTTTAAAAAGGCTGAATTTGTAATTTACTGACACTGATGAAGAACTTGTAAATTTATAATCTTAAGCTGAATCGAATAGAGCCCATCTCTTTCACGTTCAACACCATTCAACACAATGAATTGCTTACATTTTTCTTATTTCAACATTAAACATGTGGTCAGCGCGTCGGATACAACGGTCCCGGTTCAAGTCCCACTCTGGCCATTAATTTTTTGTTGTCCAACTGGTTGGCCAGTTGGGGTTTTTAATCCTGTTATGTTGTATTTGAATTATTTGTTTCTAAATATTTGAGCGGAGTGCCTGTAAATTAGCTGACTAGCTAAGTGCACCTTCCACTATAAACATGCCTTTAACCTTTTTAACCTTTTAAACATGGCATAATACACTGTTCAACATTAATTTTGTTGTCCAAGGGCAGTAACATTAATATGTTGACCAACAACGGTTAAACCATGTCACTCACATGTAAAATACACCTTCACTGCAATAAATTGCATTCATCACCTTGAAAAAGAGCTTTCAGTCATCTTTACATTTCAAAGAACTATAAAAAGGTTTCAAACACCATTTGGAGTGTTGGTTCAAATGACAATATTGGCAGTAGCATGTTAAAATAATCTTCAGACTTAACTGGTTATATATTATGTAATGATTCAGTTCAATACACAATGAGTTTTGTACATAAATATGTGAGGCCTTGTTAAGATCGGACAATTCTAAGGGAACAGACAGCAAATACTGTAATAAAATTGTTGTTGCGTGTAAAATTACCTAAAAGCAGTGACTGTTTATCAGTAGGATGCCTTAAATATGTGCAATTCCACAATTGGTTTCGGCTTCATTAACTCCTATACCAACAGTTACTGTAAGAACATTTTAGAAGGAGCCACCCACAATATGAGGACAGCTACTGACATTAGTAAGCAAAAACAGTGAAAATAAAGCCGTTAACGGCTAACACAAGACTGGCAGATGGTGACAACTGACACAAAGATGGACTGTAACTACAACAGGACCAAGGACAAGGAAAAATACAATAACATAAAATCATGATCAACAGGCACTCAGTAGATGAAAAGAAGGGTCATGTCATGTCCCCTCCCCACTGGATGGGAAGGGCCTCGCTCATAAGCATGCCTCAGCTTTCAAGGCAATATAAGGGCACAAGGTTCAATACTTTTCGATATCTTACTCCTTTGTCATCTGAATTTTACATGCTCTAAGCTTAATATCACCGAAATAATACTGGTATTAAGCAACAAACTTGAAAGTATAAGCTTAAATACCGGTAAATTTGACAACGAGGTTTACGAACATTCATTTTCGATGAAAGTGATTTTAGGTGTACAAGATTTTAAGGAAGTGTTTTAAATTTAAGCTCAGTAACCTGATAATAAATATAAGTTACAAATGGTTATATTAATAAATTAAACGCACAACTAGCTAGAGGATATCAAAATAGAACGAGAACTCACCGATGAAGACCACGGTGGGACATATCCTCTTTAAATGCGTAATGTTCGCGCAATGTTTTATCTTTTTCTCAGAGATAGACTTCAGAGCAAACTGTTTTTTCTGCTTACCGTTGAGACCGAAAAGGCATTTTTAACCTTCCAACCCAGCTTGAAACCATAACCGTGACCACACTTGTAAACTGCGCCAAAGAAATGCGCAAATGTGAAGAAATTTCCCGCCTAGGTGGCGCAAAGGATGGCGGGAAGGAAATGGCGTGGTCGGAAATGCTTCTTTTTCGCTTTGGTTGGGGTTGTTATTTTTGGTTTTGGTTTTTTTGTTTTATTTGTTTTTGTTATTTTTTTTGGTTGGTTTAAAGAACTGTAACAGATATTTGATTTCTCTCCTATTGTATTTTTTCTGTGCAGTTAAAAGGATTTGCTCTTGCTGAAATATTGATATTTCACCAACAGCAAATCTTTTTAAGTGTAAGTGTAGAATCTGGGGGAGGGGGCGGGTTGTAGGCGACACTGCAGCCCACACAATCTCTGTGTTAAATTATATAAGACTTAATAATTTAATATTTCTACAATGACTTTTAAAAAAGTCATTGCAAATGGTTACTCCTGCGGACTGCAAATAGTCGTTTTTTTTTGTCTTCAAAAAAATTGTTTCAACGCGCCAAGCGCAGGTGGCTTTATTCTCACACGCGTAAATGCGCGCGAGCCCCAGACCTTTCGTTTGACTGCTAGGGTTCGGTTTTTTTTAAATGTCTCACTGGTTTTCATCGAGCCAAGCGCCGGCGGTTTTAGTCTCACACGCGCAAAGCGCACGACCCCCAGTTTCGTCCTGTGTTTGGCTGTACGAGCGTTCTTTTTTTTTAATTGACTACGAAAAACGACGGACTGTTTTGCAGTCTAGTGGCACACATATTAAATGACTTCCTGAAAAAAATGCGCGCGGTACGCGCGATCGGTAAGACCGAGATTGGCATATTTTTCCGCAAACACAGCATTGCCGAATCGTCAGAGCTTGCACTTCAATCATGAACAGCGTTTTATGTGGATTTTTCGTTACGTTCAACTTACAAGGCGCTCCTGCAATCAAGACCCTCCCTTATGTTATTATTATACACTAGGGTATTTGAGGTGTAGAAGCTTCCTCCACAAAATGCCCAGTTCCCCCCGCCCAAAAAAAATATTGTTATCATTACAGTATACAAGTAACTATACCGGAAAAATCGTCAGACGCGACGTGGTCAGTGCACACACTGCAAAATTTCTCAAAATTGTGTCTCAAAATGCACCAGATTGCATCTCAGGGCATATTCACTTCAAAGACGCTCCGGGTGTGTATGCCCCCGGACCCCCCTGGAAAGCTCGTGGCCTTTGGCCACTCGGGACTCAAACACTCTCCCCCAAACGATAAGTCCTAGAAAGAACCCTGCCAGGAGCCGATATATATCCTCAATACAGGCTCACACAACATAGCGATTTCTCAACCTACTCAACCTCTTTTTTTATGATTTTTGGGGTTTGGCGGTAAACGGACCTTTCTGCGCGTGCGGCAAAAGCAAAAAAAACAGAGCATTTTGTCTACGTGGGCAATTTTACTGTTTTTAATCGATCCGTCATATTTACCATTTTCCCTCTGCTACGTCTCTAATTATTATTATTATTATTATTATTATTATTATTATTATTATTATTATTATTATTATTATTAATACTATTATTATCATTATTATTAAAATTATTATTATTATTGTTGTTGATGTTGTTGTTATTATCAGTATCATTATTATGATTGCTAGCGGAGCACCATGGGCAAGAAAATTTGGTTATGACGTAGCGTACGCCCGCCCGCTCGCTCGCCGGTACGAACACTTTATGTAAGCTGATGCCAAATGTCACATTAGAAATTGGAAATTGAATAATGAAAGAACGGCGCCCATGTTCAAGCAAGATTCGCAAGAAAAGCAGTGCTCAATTTTCGATGTAGCCTGCCTTCCTACAAGCCGCGGTAAAATCTGATCTGATTGGCTTACATCAGAAACTCATATGAGTTTCTGCTTACATTTCTAGCATGACGCAATGTGCATAACGTTAAAAAGAAGAAAAGAAAACGCCTGATCGCAGGTTAGGGCGACAGACGCGAAGTAAGTGTATCAAGCGGTACTTTTTTCCCCTTTGTTCGTCCGCGACTGATCACAGGG